GGGGACCCACCGCCTGCACATTTTGAGTGTCTCCCTCATTTAACAGCCCTGATTCAGATCATCAGCTCGTTAGGAGAGACTCGAACTCAACTGAGTGTGTCAGATAAGAGAGACAGACAGAATGAGCAAAGCACTGGGTCTCCAAGAACCACTGGACTAAGTGGTTCTTTAATACTGTGATTACCAATCATTTGGGTGGTTTTCCAAAGAACAGCACCCACCAATACCACAACTTACATCTTAAATGCATTGTTTGAAGTTACTGTGTTATACATTTTTCTAAACAGGCATTCATTTTCAAGTGCGAAAGGTTTGTTACTTCAAGTGTACAGACCTACAATGTCCATTTACACATATCAGCTCAACAGATGAGACACAAAGACAACTTGTGCTACAATTTGATTGCAACAGACTTTGTCTATACTGATGTGCTGAGGTGAGAAATGAAAGGGAAGTTGTCTTACCAGCACTTTGGGGCTTCTCTTGGGCTGCAGGACTCCTGTGAGACAGCGGCAGAGAGAAAGAGAAATCATCACCCTCATATCACACACTCACACTCACACTCACACACACACACACACGGATCCTCATATCAGAGCAGAGCCTCCGTCTGAGCGCTGGAGTGCATGTGTGTGTGTGTGTGTTCATGCATCAGCTGCTGCTGAGGATCCTGCTCCACCCACCCATGAGAGTGTGTGTGTGTGCGTCTATGACACACACGCGCGCGCACACACACACACACACACACACACATCATCTCAGACCTACAATGTCCATTTACACTGATAATCCAGTGAGACTCATGCCACACACATCTTCTACATGCTGTGAATGAATATAGTGTAAAAAAATATTTTCACATAAGAATCATTATGTCTCCGTTTAATTAGCATTCATGAAATTCACGTGGTTTAAAAAGCATACATGTATTTGAATTAGTTGTGCTTTTCTACCCCGAGAGTTTTAAAGGCAAGCATGTCATAGAATTTGCATTTCTTTTCTTTTTTCTTCATTCTTTAGCCCATAATCAATAGTCTTGCAACATTATTTTCATGACTCACAATTAGCAGCCCAAATCTGTCAGCTGTTCATCACAATCTACTAAGATCCTGTATAATATGGGCAGGTGTATTATTTCATATGCACAGTAATCCAGCAGAATGTTTTTTTTTTTTGTGACACACTGTTTAGAAGTATTTTTGTATTTGATGTTGATTTTATTTAAGGTAATGAAGTCAGATCACTGTCTGAATGTCTGCAGCAGTATAAAACTGGTGACTCATAATCACTGCTTTTAATGCATGCATAAACGGATTCATGGCTGGTGTAGTTCACCTGGATTTTGGCTAATACATTTTAATGATTGTTTTTCTACATGAAGCTGAAATGACACTGACTGACGGCCTCAACAGAAGCATACACCATTGCTTCATACGCTTGGAGCTCATGGTAGTTCAGTCTTTATGTGAAATCATTATGAAGGAAAGGAGTGGGATTTTTCTTGAGGAGCGGTTTCACTCTGTCCTCCCTATTTTTAGCGTAAGAGTGGCGCGGTTGTTTTACACACGGACATGCGCTGCTCCTGGAGTCAGTAGCTTCCAGTCATTTCAGCTGTACAACAGACCATTATGCTGCTCAATGCTGCAAACTGCCATTTCTCATCATATTAATTCAAAGTGTTGTCATAATTTTACTGTTAGTGATTTACAGTTTCCTGCACTCATTCTTCTGGTTATTTCCCTATAGCGGCTAACGAATCCTGCACATTCACAGAAAACAGCTCAGCTCTGTGTTGCAAAGACGGACAGTGTCATTCGACATAAACATACAAACACAAGCACAGAACTATTTTACTAATAGAATCAAATATGTTTGTTAATTATCAACATTACTCTCACTTCATCCGTTACCTTGGATTTATTGTTATTATTATTATTGCTGCAAGGCATTCTGGGATTGTATTCTCAGCAAAACATATGTGTCGCATTAGATTTTGAGCCAAACAAGCTCTCACTAACCGATTTATACTTTGTGTCAGGAATCCACACGAGGAATTACGATGGATCCTACAGAACATGTGCTTTATATGGTACAAAAATATGCCCTCATAATGATAACAAAAGCATAGAAATTCCAGCTGATTTCCAGTGGTGTATAAAGTACCTGAAAGCCATACTTAAGTAAAAGTACAGATATCTTATCAGAAAATGACTTTGGTAGAAGTTTAAGTCACCGTTCAGAATATTACTTGAGTAACAGTATTAAAGTATGTGATATTTATTGTACTTAAGTACGAAAAGTATTTTTTTAATCTTTAACATACTTAAGTATTGAAAGTAAAAGTACAAGTAAATGCAAAACGGAAATGAAGCAAATAAATATATAAAAACATGTTCATACATGGCTTGAGTAGCAAGATTGTGTTCAGTTTTAACTCTTTCTTCCATTTTGTATTTTTGGGTAAGAATAAGAAGCACTTCATCCGGTAATTAAGTGTGTTTCATTCCAACACAAGAAAACATTTCTGAAATCTGCATCTGAAATAGCATTTAGATGTATTTACACAGTTTATGTAGCTCAGAGGAGACATGGATGCATTTAAGCTGCAGTTACAGATGCATAAATAATGTTTTGTTTTTAACATAAAACGTTGAATACTTATATTTGAAATAATTTAAAACATGAACAAAACAGTCGAAATGTGAAATTAAAACCGCCAGTAGGTGGCAGCAAGTGACCATTAATGAGTGAGTCATTGAGATTCAACCGATTCATTCAAACGGCTGATTCATTCAGGAACAAATCATTTGACTGTGTTAATGAGTGAATCACTGAGTCGTTTATTCATTTGATTTGTTCAAAAAGCTGAAATAGTCTTCTGACTTCTGACTATTTTGTAGTAAGTAACGAATATGCTTCGGGCAAATGTATCGGAGTAAAAGTATACATTTTAATTAGGAAATGTAGTGGAGTAAAAGTAAAAGTTGGCTGAAATATAAAAACTCAAGTAAAGTACAGATACTCCCAAAAAATACTTAAGTACTGTAACGAAGTAGTATTACTTCGTTACAAAACACCACTGCTGATTTCTGATACTCTCTATAGCAGCTTTCTGTTTGTTCTCACTGGAAATAATCTGGAAATAATCTGAGTATCATCATGGAAACAAACGAAGGCAAGATACTGAAATTTATGGCAGTGCACACAGCTTAATGTGTTTGAGAGAGTGTGTGTGTGTGTGTGTGTGAGTGTGTGTGTGTTTGTGAGAGAGTGTGTGTGTGAGAGAGAGTGAGTGAGTGAGTGAGTGAGTGAGTGAGTGAGTGAGTGTGTGTGTGTTTGAGTGTGTGTGTGTGTGTGTGTGTGTGTGTGTGTGAGTGAGTGAGTGAGTGAGTGAGTGTGTGTGTAAGTAATGGTTTTTCTACTGTTCAAACTGTATTTTCTATCCTCTTACTCTAACCCTACACCTAAACCTACCCCTCAATAGTACTCGAGATCGGTATTTGTACTGTATTGCGAGCACTTTCTGTGTTTATTTGCCTCTTTATGATGAATCACTCGTTGTTTTCCTCAATTGTAAGTTGCTTGGGATAAAAGCATCTTGTTAAATGAATAAATGTAAATGTGTTTGGTCTCAGACTAAGAGGACTTTGGATTTTATTTCAAGACCGATCAAGACCACATCTGTAGGGATATCACTAAATTGCCGACACACTGTCTGATTTATTTGTTAACATCATTAATGTGATTGGATTTAAAACTTCCTGCTTCAAATTCAAATAACTTATTTCTAATTGAAATTATTTTGATACTGTTGTGCTGGGATAGAATTGCATAGGGAACTGTGTAAAACAAATTAACAAAATTAATAAAAACACCCAAAAAATGCTAAATATGATTGCAAAAAAGTACTTGTATGAGAACATGTTTTATAACATATGCAATTAAGTAATATCAAGAACAAGCGAGCTGTTTTTACGAATATGAGCATGATTGCAAATGTGATACTGATTTTATACAAACCTTCAATGAACAAGAAGTTAATATTAAGTAAATTACATTTTAGACACAACTCTTTGCTATTTCGACAACAAAAACAGTTCCAGACAAATCCACAGCAGAACTGTTATGTGTTTCTGAGTAGCACACAGTGGTGATTCGTTACTGAATGAATCATTTGCTTTGAACAAATCTGTTGCATACATGATTCCATGACTCATTCATTAAGTCATTTGCCGCCACCTAGCCTACAGCTTACTGTTTTAGTGGCATATTATCATTCAGTATCATTTTATTCTTCCATCATATTTGTATATTCAAAACGTTATTTTAAAACATTAATCTCAACAATATTGATGCAGTTGTAATTTATACCAATTCAGATGTAGCTTTGCAGTGCTAAGGTGATTGCACTGAAGAGAAGTGAATGTTTATTGTTAGTGAATTCATTTGATTGGTAACAGCTCTATATAGTGCCTTATTATACTAATTGTATTTATTTATTAAGACATTAAGGTTATTGATAAGACATTTCTCCGGCAGTAAAGGTGTTAAAGGTCTTGGTCTGGGTTTAGGTGATCTTGACAACAATCCTACCCCTCATTTTTAGATTCTTAAAACACTTCTTTCTGTTTGATTTATAAGCTTGTTTCCTCATGGGAACCAAAATAATGTCAAAATGTACTGCTATTACTATACTTGTAGAGACATTTGGTCATTACTTAGTGAATACCAGCACACACACACACACAACTCTCTGAACATAAATGTATTATGAATATGGACAGATATATGACAGCAGGCATACTTCTGTTCAATCCTCCACACTGCTAGATATCTGCTTAATGATCACAGCTGACAGGCGTTTATAGACTTTGATAAACATTATCAAGTGTGTGCTATCAGTGAAATCAATGCAAAGCTCATTGTGAATGTAGATGAGTGGCATGTTTCTGGCCTGTCTGCCACAGAGATTCCCAGAACCAATGTACAGTTTGTACGTACAGAATGTTTGGACAGACACTGATGCATGACAACGACAGAAAATATACTGTTTTATGGCTGGAGTCTGAGTGAGTCCAGCCAAGCCCAGAAAGGCAATCAGATTTATATGATTTGAAACGGCAGTTGTAAACATGCAAATCTGCAAAATGTGAACAATTTTCACTAAATAATTGCATGCTATTTTTTATTTAGTAAAGCCTGAACAAGCTATTTCTCATAAAAGATATTTACACATAGGGCCAGTTTTACTAACAGCTTTTGCCGACGCAAACCATCTTTTGGTGTTAAAATAGTACTGTCAGGATTTACTAAAGACACGCAGTGAAGAATTAGCACTGAAAAGGCGTGGACAGTTATTTTTGTGCCTGACCTTATTGAATATGCATTTGTAGGAGTTTCCCTTTTAGATGTTAATTTATGGGAGAATAGTATTAAAATTAATCACGTAACATGATTTACTAATGTTTGCGCTCGTCAAATTATTGGTATTTGCACCATTATTTAACGGCCAAAAAAGCATGTCTTAAACTACTTTGCGCTTGAAACGGCTGCAATTGTTGCTGCTAGGAAGCAGAGATTGCGTGGTAGAAGGGAGAGGATTTTTTCCATATGTATTTATTTAGTTGGAATGCCAGAAGAACACATTATCAGAATCTGAACAATTCCTTACGCTAACTTGCGCTGCGCTTGGTATACTGCGTTGGTAATTATGTAAATGAGATGTTGTGTCTGTGTTCTTTAATTTGCGTGTTGTCAGTAGAGAAACGCAGACATTTCCACACCCATCGGTGTCGCTTTGGGATTGCGCTCCTGTGCTAAGTTGCCCTGTTTAGTAAAAACTGGCCCATAGTCCACGAGACAAAATAATAACTAATAATAATGTGTAGAGACTGGTGAAAAGACATTTAGACATGCCTGAGATTGGCTGCAAAAACACACTGTGAGTAGTTTCATTACTCAGTCATACTATATGTGACCCTGCAGCACAAAAGCAGTGTTAAGTCGCTGGGGGATATTTGTAGCAATAGCCAACAATACATTGTATGGGTCACAATTATACATTTCTCTTTTATGCCAAAAATCATTAGGATATTAAGTAAAGATCATGTTCCATGAAGATATTTCGGAGAGCTGCAGAACAAAATGCCAGTCACGAATTAGAAGTACAAACCGAGGATTTGTAAAGAAGAATGTAGGAGGATTTCGATATAAGCCAAGAGGAGTGATTGAAAGTGTTTATTACATTTTAAATAGTGATGGAAAAGTGTTTATTACATTTGAAATATGGATATTTTTTTCTTACAAAAATGCATGGATTCGCTACAGGAGGCCTTCATTCACCCCCCAGAGCTGTGTGAGGAACGTTTTATTATGGATGGACTGTTGAACAAAAACACCCGCCCACCACCATTATAAAGCTTGGAAGAGCAAGGGAAATGTTTAATACAACTCCGACTGGATTTGTCTGAAAGATGAAAGTCATATACGCCTAGGATGCCTTGAGGGTGAGTAAAACACAGGCTAATTTTCATTTTTGGGTGAACTAACCCTTTAATAATCAATTAGAAAACACTGTTGTACTTCAATTTGTTGTCCAAATATAAACATTTACAGGCGGCTGTAATTCAAACTTGTTTTCTTGACAGATTTATTCAAACATACATTAAATAATGAAGATAACTGGTCAAGTCAAAATATAGTGATATGTAATCTAGAGCTGATAATTGTCAAAATAGAGTTTTTCTCTAGAGTTATTTTTATAGATGGTTTTTGGACACTGAATGTCTTTCCTGAGGTAAATGTGACGTTACGTGACATTATTGATCATTGATTATTGATTGATGTTTTGATAAAACGCTGATTGATCGATTCTATGATTCATGATTGATTTCAGTAAGTTATTCTGTTTCTTCTGATGTTCATTCATGTTTATTTGCTAGTAATAAAGAAGAAGAGATGATCGCTTCATTTCGGTTTCAGCCCTCCAAAACTATTTTGGGCAAAGACTGAACATTGCTGTTTTAACCAAATATTTTCTGTTGTTGAAATTTTGGTGTATCACAATCTAATCATTCCTCTGAGAGAGTTGCCTTTAGCGATTAACCAATTAGCAAACTCTTTGTAAATCCTTTGTTTTGGAGGTGTGAGGCTGATATGCTGAACCAAACGATTTTTGACACAGTTGACTTCAACTTGACTTCAAGTCCTTTACTCTTCAGGTATCATTCAGAAAGAGTTACAAGTTAAAGTGGCATAAAATGCTGCATAGGAACGATTAGCTAAAATCATTCACTTCAAGGGAAACACAAACTGCATGTCTAACAGCATTTCTTAAAGTGCCCCTATTATGGACTTTTGAAAATGACCTTTCATGCAGTGTGTAACACAGCTCTAAGTGAATGAAAACATCCTGCAAAGTTTTAAATCTGAAAGTGCACCGTGTATAAAGTTACTGTCTCTCAAAAGAAAGAGTCGACTCTGAATCATTGAAACGAGTCGTTTTTAAAACGAATCCCAAGCTGTTTCATGTTGACGTTAACATGAAACATTAGCATATTGCCCGCCCACTTGTTGGTCTTTTCGCGTTGGTCTGAATGAAGATGCAAATTCATTCTTTGCCACTAGGTGCAGATTTTGGAGTGGTAAAAATAGCGGTTTCCTCGGTAACGCTGTACACAAAGCAGCACTGCGCTCACAAACGCCGCTTTATCAGGCATTACAGGCGAGATGAAATGAAAATGAGAACACCACAGATTAGCGTCACACAAAGGAGGAGTTTGGAAAAATTTATCGTTGAGCAAATAAGGTAAAAATAAATGCATATTATAAGACAATGAACGTGTTTTATGACCTTGCATGCATGTCAGCCTGTTGTTGGGGACTCCCAAAACCAAAATATTAACCTTTCATTACCCATAATAGGGGCACTTTAATCAGATTCTGCTCACATTTAATGCAAAAGTGATGCCGCACAACAAAACTCCTTGTGGATTTTGTAATTTGATATGCAGTGTTTGTGAAGCACTCTCTGGTTTTGGATGATTAATATGTAAGAGGGGTGGGGCTTGGATTCCAGTGTGGGCGGGGCTAAAGGAGAGTGTGCTGTGCCTTATTAGGACACACACTCAGATGAACATGGAAGAGAAAGAGAAAGTCCAGACCTGTTTCCATCTTTCCGTCCACAGCGGCCGGTCCGTCCAGCACCAGACTCTTGATCTGTAGGAACTCGTCCGGTTCATCGCCGCCGACCACAGTGAAACCGAAGCCTCGCCGGCTCTTCAGCAGCTTAGTGCTTATGAAGGAGCCCTTGAGTTCGGCTGGATTACGAGTAAAGAACGGCTTTCCTCCTGCTCACACACACACACACACACACACACACCGAGTTACTCATTATTCAGTCGTGTCATTACAAATGCTCATTGAGTCAGTGTGAGTGAAGTCTCACGCCTGGGGCCCGGGGCCTGAGGGGCCTGAGGGGCCGACGGACTGCTCTGAGGGTCTCTGTATGTCTCCAGATGACTGGGCACATAAGAGCTGATTGCAGTGCCGGCAGACGAGTGCTCCTCTATCCATTCTGACACGAACAACAACACAAACAGAACAGAAATGAACAATAAACAAAAAACAATAAAAATCATTAAGAAGCACTGCATCAATGTCCAATAGAAAAAAATCTAACTTTTTGTTACACACACACACACATATTGCATATATTGGCATTTCTCAAATAATGTGATGGGCTTTTTTTTTTTAGTTAAATTGATATTTTCATTCAGCGAGGACACATTAAATTGACCAAGAATTACAGTAAATACATTAATAATCAGCATATTATAATTATTTCTGAAGGATCATGTGACAGTGAAGACTGGAGTAATGATGCAGAAAATTCAGCTTTAAATTTAAGTACATTTTAAATTAATTATATTTTACAATATATTCACATAGAAAACAGTGATTTTAAATTGTAAAATCTCAGAATATTACACCTTTTAATGTAATACCAAAGAAGTGTAGCCTTAGTGAGCATAAGAATCATAATTCAAAAGAATAAAAAAATAGATATCTTTGAAAGGATTTTGTGATTTAGTGTCTAGTCAAGTCATTTGATGCTTACAATTTATTCTGATTGTTCACTTTAGTCATTCTACTAACTATCAGCAACTTCATAATGTCAACCAGCAGTCGTTAGAGTATTACTGACTGTCTGCTTCATATCTGCTCACACTTTATTTTGATGTATATTCTACTGACTGTAGGTCACTTTGTTATAAGTACATATCCACTTCTTCTACTAACCCTAAACCTAATTTTTCTGAAATTGAGCTAAATAAATGCGCTTTCCATTGATGTATGGTTTGATAGGATAGGACAATATTTGGCTGAGATACAACTATTTGATCTGGTGGGTGCAAAAAAAATCAAAATATTGAGAAAATCATCTTTAAAGTTCTTAGCAATGCATATTACTAATCAAAAATTAAGTTTTGATATATTTACGGTAGGAAATTTACAAAATATCTTCATTGAACATGATCTTTCCTTAATATGCTAATGATTTTTGGCATAAAAGAAAAATGGATAATGTTGACTCATACAATGTATCGTTGACTTATGCATGCTTTTGTGCTTCAGGGTCACATATGTAAACTCATGTAAAGGAGAACATTAGAATGCAATGCTCACTGTGCTATGGAAGTACATACTACAGCATTACACAGGTAATAGCGTTTCTCAGCATGTTCAGGTTCTGGTAGTGTTTCACTATCTGTTCTAGTTGACTCTGAAGTGATCCGCACCTCTGATGTAGCGTCCGTCCTCCGGCGACTGCTGTGTGTCCAGCTGTTTCTGCCGCCGGGCCTCCAGAACCGGGTTCTCGTACTGCGTCTTACGGTTAATGTGACTGAGACACAGAGACACAGCCGGTCAGCATCAGCATCCTCAGACGCATCCAAGCTCTGCTGATTCTAATCATTCTCTACACTAAACCACACAGTGCCTGGAGCTATCTGAAGTGTGTTTTGTTTCTGAATGATGCCTACAGTAATTGTTTTCAAATAGAGCAAGCTGAGAGACCATTCACAGCAGTGTAGAACAGAATAAAGTCTGGGCCCTACATTCAAACACACACAACACTAGGAGTTTCTGTAAAATAACTGATTATGAGATGGAGGGATCTTACACTTACTCTACATAATAGACTCCATACACCGGGTCATCGATCTTCTCCCAGCCAGGAGGCAGTTCTGACCACAAACACAGACAAATCAAGAGCCACTGAGCAAAGAGATGACAGGCGCTGCAGCTATGTGCTTTCAGAGTTTAGTAAGTGTTGAGAAAGATCATTCAGCACTGTCACTTTTTTGGTAGTTTGAGAAGCAGCTTTTAGCAGCATTACATTCACTCTCTCTCTCTCACAGCATATCTCAGTACTAAAGACACACTCACACTCACACACACACACACACACACACACACACACTGCATGCAGAGAGAATCATGCTAACAATATTTTAATAATCACACCTGGCACAGGCGAGAGGAGAGACGTACCGAGATCATTGTCCAGCTCTTCTGTATGTACACCCTCTTCTCCAAGACAAGAACAAACAGACAAGTGTGAATATTTGATGATCAATGACAGAATAAGAGTGCAGAATTATCATGATCAAGGTGCCGCTTGCATGCAGTTCCTCAGATAATGAACACACATTCATTACCTTCAAAATCATAATATCTTTAAATTTATGTCCATACATTTTAAACCAGCTTCAGCTTTGCTGTTTTTCTATGACTGAGAATGTGGAGTGGGGGGTTGTGGGTAATAAATGAGTGCAGAGAGCATGCACAGGCGCACATTTCTTGTAGAATGTACTCTGAATTGTGACACAGTCTTTCTGAACTGTATTAAGATCAAACACAGTACAGACCTTACACTCCTTACATCAGATCATCCTCACTAAACACATCACACATCTCCTGAAATACATTAAATGTATATTTATACAGTTCTTACATAAGAACTCCGTATTTTTAAGTCAAGTCCATTTTAATTTGTATAACACTTTTCTCAATACAGACAGCTTCATTTAATCATCATTGCTTTACTCAAAGCAGCAGCCTTCCAGTTTCCTTTAGTCTGAATATTTATTTATTTTTGTATGTTGAATACTGATCTTGAACACAGACAGAGAATCTTTTTTCCTTTGGTGTCCATGATGGCAGTAATGTGCACTGCTGATGAATGACGCTGCCCTCTGCTGGTAACAGCCTGCAGGGACTCGCTCTTCCCGAGCCCAAACTGCATTCATCAGGTCGAGCAGATCTTCAGCGACACCCTAGCGCTCTGATGAACGAATCTGACGCTGATGTTACCCTATGACAGCTCTGCTCCAGGTCCTCAACAGTATCTGAAGCTTTTCCAGCTGTTTGTGAATTACTGGACAAAGATTAAGGGCAATCATTTTGTATTGTTTAGTTTCTAACCAGTAAACTAATTATTATATGGAAATTTAAGAGTTTATTCATTTCCATTCAGGTCTAGAAATCCCACACAGCCTGCAGGGACTTGCTCTTCCCGAGCCCGACCCGTATTCATCAGGTCAATCTTCTGTGACCCGGCACTCTGATGAACGAATCTGACGCTGATGTTATAGAATTTTAAGAGTTTATTAATTTCCATTCAGGTGCATAAACCCCACTGTTAAAATTCCCTCAAATATCCAAGTTACCCTTCTAGGGAACTCAACGCTGCACCCCCTAGGGGGCACATTTGGGAATGCAGCCTGCATGCCCAGTGTCTGAAGCACGTGTGAAACAACACCAATCTATTGGCCCACCTGGCCCATGACATCATCGGCGGGATGCCTGGAAGTATAAAAGGGCACCTGCTGAATACATCATCCTCTTTGCTGTCTTCAGGAGCTGTCTGTTTGAAGTGCGTGTGAGAGACCAAGGCAGGTGAGCAGTGTAGAAAGTGTGTGCCTCCGTTCCAGAGGTTTCTGGCGCTTGAGGATGTGCACAATCTATCTGTTATCTGTTTTTGGTCAGGAGCTTGCGCGTTCAGTGCCCGAGGGCTCTGAACACGCTCATTGTGAGTGTTATCCAATGAAAAGCTCCATTCGCGTTTGTCCCTCTTTTTTTCTCGAGAGATGAGTGACAAGCGTTTGCGTCTTGCGGTTCGGGTCCCGCTGTTGCCGAGGCACGGCGAAGACTCGGATCGCGGGTTTCACAGGGTTGAGATCGAGTCGAGCAGAGCCTTAGGGAATGTATGCCTCTGTGTTTGGATTCTAACACTCAAGGGCATGTTCTGCTTTCGCGTTTGTCTCGTGAATATATTTAAATATTCTGTGGAGAGCGGCTTGCGAGTTTTCTCTCCCAGGGTTTTCAGCACCTAGAGTGGTTATGGGGAATATCTTTTTGCTCTGGAATGTGGCGGTCTGAGGGCAGCTATATTCTAGCCTAGATTTTAATAACTAGGTTGGGTTCCCCTTGGCACAAGTTCTCGAGTAAGTGCTGAAGTCTTTGTTTAGGAATCTGCTATTCGAGGATAGCGGTGTTCCAGCGCGGAGACCGCTTCCCTTTTAGGTTTTTTAGATTGTGGTCTCTGTGAGCTCCTTGCCTGGACTGTGCTGTCTCCCCTTCGAAGGTTTTAAATAGATGGCCCACTTCCGTGGCCTGGGCAATCTTCAGCCTTATCTGAGGGAACTGCTATTCGAGGATAGCTGTGTCCAGCCCTCTAGTGCTATGGCTACTGCTTACTTCAGTCTTGATCTCGGACTATGATGTTTGTGTTCGCTCTTTAGTGAATCATTTACTGATGGTCTGGATCTCCCTCTTGTGAGATCTTGGTCAATAGCACGGTGCTTTGCTAGCCTACTGTGGGACTGACACGGATTGTGGACCTCCTTAATATAGCCTTCCGAGGGTGGTTATATTCCAGCCATTGTTTTTGGCAATACGGGCTCATTTGAATGCAGCTATCTGTGACTAGCTGTGTACTACTGCAATTGCGGTGAGCCCTCTCACGTAGTGAGCCTCTTTCCTAGAGCCTCGCTATCTGAGGATAGTTATGTGCTAGCTCAGGGATTGCTCCCCTGCTTATGGTTTTAAGTAGCGGTCTCTTGAGCCCTTACCTAGACAGTGCTGTCTCCCCTCTTTGGGTCGTAATTTGGTCCCCCTTCTGGTAGCCCTTCCCAGGTACATAATTATCTGAGGATATCTGTGTGCTAGCTCAGTGGCTGCTCCCCTTCCTAGGGTTTTTAATAGCAGTCTCTTTGAGCCCTTGCCTAGAGAGTGCTATCTCCCCTGCTAGGGTAGTAAGTAGATAGCCCACTCTATGTGTTCTGGGCAGTTCTGTAGGAAGGCTATCTAGGCTCTGACGCGGATTGGGGACCTCCCTTAGTATAGCCATCTGAGGGTGGTTATATTCCAGCCATTGGTATGGCAGGTTGGGCTTACCTGTATACAGCTATCTGAGGCTAGCTGTGTTCCATTGCGGTTGAGGTGAGCCCTCTTATGGAGTGGTCCCTTTTCCTACAGCCTAGCTATCTGAGGATAGCTATGTGCTAGCTCAGTGACTGCTCCCCTTCCTAGGGTCTTTAAGTAGTGGTCTCCTTGAGCCCTTACCTAGACAGTGCTGTCTCCCCTGCTAGGGTTGCAAGTAGACAGCCTACTCTTTGTAGTCTGGGTAGTTTCAGTCAGTTCCCCTTCTGGTAGCCCTTCCTAGGTGCATAGCTATCTGAGGATATCTGTGTGCTAGCTCAGTGTCTGCTCCCCTTCTTAGGGTTTTTAAGTAGTGGTCTCTTTGAGCCCTTGCCTAGACAGTGCTATCTCCCCTGCTAGGGTAATAAGTAGATAGCCCACTCTCTGTGGTCTGGGCAGCTCCGTAGGAAGGCTATCTTGGCTATGTTATTTTGGTCCACAAGCCTTCATAAGACCTTAGGAACATAGCTATCTGAGGATAGCTGTGTTTTAGCTCAGCAGCTACTCTCTTTACCTGAGATTTAAGTAGCATCCTTTGAGCTCCTCGAGAGGCTTTCTAGTTTGCCTCCTCAGTGGTCTTGTGTATCAAGGCTAGTTCTGCTCACATTGCATAGCTATCTGAGGATAGCTGTGCTCTTAACTTGGATGGGATGTTCCCCTTGACCTATTCGGGTTCCCCTTATTTCTGCTAAGTTGTGTGAGTGGCCCGTGGCGTCAGTGGCATGGCCCCTTTCTGAGGAAAGGCTTTGTCTATGTCTGTCGCTTCCTTGGTGCTCTCCCACAAGGTGGACAGGCATGCGCCTCGGCACGGCATGATTGGATTTCGTTCCCCAATGTGCCCCCTAGGGGGCACAGCGTTGAGTTCCCTAGAAGGGGAATGTCTTGGGTTACGCATGTAACCATGGTTCCCCGTGAGGGAACGAGACGCTGCGTCTCCTTGGCCCCCTGCGCCTTTGGCATGCCTGTCTACGTCTCCTTCAGACAGCTAAAGGGGATGACGTATTCAGCAGGTGCCCTTTTATACTTCCGGACATCCCGCCTATGACGTCATGGGCCTGATTGGCGTTGTTTCACACATGCTTCAGACACCGGTCATGCAGGCTGCATTCCCCAATGTGCCCCCTAGGGGGCGCAGCGTCTCTTTTCCTCTCGGGGAACAATGGTTACATGCGTAACCCGAGACGTTTTCCAAGACTTTGGGAATCTCCAGTGAAAAACACTTGTTGAGGGGGGTTAACAAAATAAGGAAAATTTGGATTTCTAATTATTTTAAAATTATTTTCATTGTCATCTTGAAGCCCTCTCGTGGGCCACTACTTGAGTGGACAAGTGTGTGTGAATTTAAGTGTGTCTCCCATTTAGTGAACATACACTAAGTAACATGGTTTCATAAGCATGAGATGATACTGGAACAGAGTGGTCCAAATGAAAACACAGGAGCGGTGGATGATGATGGATGATGCCGTCTTACCATCGTCGTCACAGTCCTCCAGAGGTTTGGGCTGTTTGTCCTGACATCGAGGGTCTATCCACGAGGTGGTCTTTGTGTTGTGGCTGTAAACAACATCATCACTGGTGTTAGTATGAGAGTACTGAAACGATCAGTCACAGATGTCTGAAGCGTGAGCAGCGGTTGTGTCAAACGCATGATTGGTGACAGTACACCAGCAGACCTAAAGGCCAGGACACACCAAGTCGACTTTAAAGAATTAGTGGTGACAAAAGCTGACAGTGTTGTCTCCCCGACTGGACCAAAAAGCTGTGCTTGAACACACCACACAGACTACAGCCGTCTGCAAACTAACACATGTGTTCTGCGCCTGCGTGAGAGGAGCTAGCTGTCTACATCAGCAGCTATCAATAGAAAATATCCTCCATTTAAAACGAGAAACTGAAACAAGGATAAACAAGATAAACGCACATATACGAAACAAAAACAAAGCAGCGCTTGCTTACCATTTTGAATAACTTCATCATTTCAAGTGGCTCATGCTTTTATGAAAATATTTGCATATTGGAATGCTTGGGAAAGATCATGCAACATTAGAACAGCCTTCTGTCTGTGCTGCCTTCATTTACTTACTCGTTTTCATCACTTTCACTTTAATTCTCAAGAATTGACTCATTTGCTAAACTGAACGTCCAATCAGATTTCCTCGATGAGAGCCAACGAGTGAAACACACTGAACAAACAAACTACCCACATGAAAAAATACTATAGTAATTTATAGTAAATACTGTAGTGTTTTTGACCCATACTATAGCAAAGTGTATTACACTGTATATATTATAGTATTTACAAATGACTTGCAGCTTGCATCAGACCAAGGCTGCATCTCATTGCTAGTTTTACTTGATCTTAGTGCTGCGTTCGACAGCATAGATCATGACATACTCATAGATTGATTACAAAACAATACAGGTATTTAAGGGCAGGCTTTATTTAAACGGGTAGTCAATACAATTATCACTAGTAAAATATGGAGTTCCACAAGGATCTGTCCAAGGTCCTCTGCTATTTTCAATATACATGTTGCCCCTTGGTAATATTATTAGAAAATATGGGATTAGTTTCCATTTTTATGCTGATGATACTCAACTATATATTTCTACAAGACCAGATGAAACTTCTAAATTATCTAAGCTAACAGAGTGTATTAAAAATGTAAAAGATTGGATGACCAATACGTTTTTCCTATTAAATTCAGATAAGACAGAGATATTACTTATTGGACCCAAAAAAATACACAGAATCTCTTGGATTACAATTTGCATCTAGATGAGGGGTTCGAGCACCCACGGAAAAACACGAGCTAGTCTCCATTCATTTAAGAAATGGATTGCAGCTTGTATGACTTATTCTTGTTTTCATAGTTCATTTGAGACCGTTTTTGGTATTATTTTAATGGCAAATGTCAAGAGTGCATTGTAATACGAGATGGTACCAGCACGAATCTCTCGGCTTGCAGCGGGCTTTTTCTCCCATATAGTGATTATGGCTTTGCGCTCCTTCAGATATTACGTGTGTGCCCTCAAACTTTGTCCTGTGAATGCGCGAATAAGTGCTTATTGTAAACAGGTATTTTGCCCCTTGGTAATATTATTAGAAAATATGGGATTAGTTTCCATTTTTATGCTGATGATACTCAACTATATATTTCTACAAGACCAGATGAAACTTCTAAATTATCTAAGCTAACAGAGTGTATTAAAAATGTAAAAGATTGGATGACCAATACGTTTTTCCTATTAAATTCAGATAAGACAGAGATATTACTTATTGGACCCAAAAAAATACACAGAATCTCTTGGATTACAATTTGCATCTAGATGAGGGGTTCGAGCACCCACGGAAAAACACGAGCTAGTCTCCATTCATTTAAGAAATGGATTGCAGCTTGTATGACTTATTCTTGTTTTCATAGTTCATTTGAGACCGTTTTTGGTATTATTTTAATGGCAAATGTCAAGAGTGCATTGTAATACGAGATGGTACCAGCACGAATCTCTCGGCTTGCAGCGGGCTTTTTCTCCCATATAGTGATTATGGCTTTGCGCTCCTTCAGATATTACGTGTGTGCCCTCAAACTTTGTCCTGTGAATGCGCGAATAAGTGCTTATTGTAAACAGGTATTTATTAAACCATTATATTTAGTGATGCGCAACCCTCATAGAAAGAATATGTGTATTATTTGTTTACTAAATAATGTATTTGCAGTCAGTGCATTTCACTTCACAAAATACATTTTGAGCAGCAAATTCATCAAATGCACTATCCAATGGTGTATACTCTAGAAAAAAACTAACAGCCAGAATAATTAATTACTGAGTCATGAGAATTAAACATTTGAATATCTGTATGATAACCAGTTATTATTTAGTCGTGGAAACAGCAGTGAAAATGCGTTTTTTAAAAAAAGAAAAAAAACCTGCACATTGGGGGGGTGGGTCTTGAGCACCCACCGGCAGAAACATAAATCGGCGCCTATGTCTAGACGGATGTACTGTTACTGCCTCTACAGTCCAAAATATGGTTGTTATATTAGATAGCAACTTATCTTTTGAAAATCATATTTCCCATTTTACAAAAACAGCATTCTTTCATCTTAGAAACATTGCCAAGTTACGAAACATGTTACCTGTTTATGATGCAAAAAAGCTTGTTCATGCATTCATGACCTCTAGACTGGACTACTGTAATGCACTGCTAGCTGGTTGTCCTGCATCTTCAATAAACAAGCTACAGGTGGTCCAAAATGCAGCGGCTAGAGTCCTTACCAGGTCAAGAAAATATGATCATATTACCCCAATTTTACAGTCTCTGCACTGGCTACCTATTAAGTTCCGGATCAGTTACAAAATATTATTACTTGCCTATAAGGCCCTTAATGGGTTAGCTCCTGCGTACCTAACTAGTCTTCTACCACGCTACAATCCATCACGCTCCCTAAGGTCGCACAACTCTGGACTTTTGGTAGTACCTAGGATGGCAAACTCCACTAAAGGAGGTAGAGCTTTTTCGCATTTGGCTCACAAGCTCTGGAATAGCCTTCCTGATAACGTTCAGGGTTCAGACACACTCTCTCTGTTTAAATCTAGATTAAAGACACTTCTTTTTAGCCAAGCATTCACATAATGTATCTCATAACTTTGTACTTCAGCTGATCAAGGTGCACTTTTTCATTCTTTTACTTGGGTTGAACACAGCATCTTTGCTTGGTTGGAACAGCAGCTACGCTAATTTAGTCTCTATCTGCTTCTCAGTTTCTGCCACGGGACTTGCATCCCAAGGCAACTAGGAATTACACAAGCTTCAATCCAACCCTTACGAAGATCTGAGAAGAGATGATGCCAACCCCTCCGAAGACCTCAGATGATGCTAACCATGGAAAAACGTATAAAACTACCAAATTTTGCTTAATAGCAACCTTTAATCGCAACATATAATCATTGCAGTTAATAGTGTTCACCGTCTGTTTGATTACGTGTAATATGTAACTATAATTCTTACTGTACATTCCTGCCATACAGGTGCATCTCAATAAATTAGAATGTCGTGGAAAAGTTCATTTATTTAAGTAATTCAACTCAAATTGTGAAACTTGTGTATTAAATAAATTCAACGCACACAGACTGAAGTAGTTTAAGTCTTTGGTTCTTTTAATTGTGATGATTTTGGCTCACATTTAACAAAAACCCACCAATTCACTATCTCAACAAATTAGAATACTTCATAAGACCAATAAAAAAACATTTTTAGTGAATTGTTGGCCTTCTGGAAAGTATGTTCATTTACTGTACATGTACTCAATACTTGGTTGGGCCTCCTTTTGCATGAATTACTGCATCAGTGCGGCGTGGCATGGAGACAATCAGCCTGTGGCACTGCTCAGGTGTAATGGAAGCCCAGGTTGCTTTGATAGCGGCCTTCAGGTCATCTGCATTGTTGGGTCTGGTGTCTCTCATCTTCCTCTTGACAATACCCCATAGATTCTCTATGGGGTTCAGGTCAGGCGAGTTTGCAGGCCAATCAAGCACAGTAACACCATGGTCATTCTAAAGGAGCCCCTAGCAAGTATTGAGTACATGTACAGTAAATGAACATACTTTCCAGAAGGCCAACAAATCACTAAAAATGTTTTTTTTAATAGGTCTTATGAAGTATTCTAATTTGTTGAGATAGTGAATTGGTGGGTTTTTGTTAAATGTGAGCCAAAATCATCACAATTAAAAGAACCAAAGACTTAAACTACTTCAGTCTGTGTGCATTGAATTTATTTAATACACGAGTTTCACAATTTGAGTTGAATTACTGAAATAAATGAACTTTTCCACGTCATTCTAATTTATTGAGATGCACCTGTATTAGTCAACACTAATAGCCTACTCCTAAATGTAATGTAGTAATGTAATATTTTCTGTAAAGCTGCTTTGCAACAACTGTATCGTGAAAAGCGCTATACAAATAAACTTGAATTGAATACAACACTTTGTTAATGAATGCTACAGCATACTGTAGTATTAACCATAGTGAACTGATAAACTTTAATAAATACTGTAGTATACTTTTGTTTTAATACAGTAAACTGTAATGTATTGAAATATATCCTATAGTTGTAGAAAACTTAGTACAGTTTTGGGTAAAGTAATTTGTTTATATTACTATAGCTGTTATATTACCACAGCAACTATAGAATTACCACAACAAATTAATTCAAGTAGTTTACTACAGTATGGTTCAAAAATACTATAGTATTTATTTACTATAAATTACTATAGTATTTTACAGACGCTCACCAACGGCTTGGTGTGTCCCAGGCTTATTGTGCTGATCTTGCTGAAACTTGTGTGTGTGTGTCTGAGAGAGAGTGAGTGTGTGTGTGTGTGTGTGTGTGTGTGTGTGTGTCTGAGAGAGAGAGAGTGTGTGTGTGTGTGTGTGTGTGCGTGTGAGTGTGTGTGTGTGTGTCTGAGAGAGAGTGTGAGTGTGTGTGTGTGTGTGTGTGTGAGTGTGTGTGTGTGTGTGTGAGAGAGAGTGTGAGTGTGTGTGTGTGTGTGTGTGTGAGTGTGTGAGAGAGTGTGTGTGATCTTGTAGCGTGGCTCTGAGTGAAGTGTCTTACTCGATGAAGTAAATCTCTCCGCTCTCGGTGTAGGCGGTCTCCCAGTTGTCCGGCAGCGCTCCGAGTGGGTCCTGATCCGGAGGAAGGCCCGGCGGCGAGGTGGCCATGTTGTTCAGCACATAGCTGGGGGCATTGTCTCGCACCTCCGGCCGGCTAGAGTCTCCTGTGCACAGCAGGGGAGAGGGGAAGAGACTACGAGCTAAGAACTCTGGGTAAAACACAGGAGCAGTGGGAGGAGACACAAGAGAAGAGTCATAAACGCATGCACAACCCTGCTGTGAGTAGAGCTGGGTATCCAGAACCGCTCCCAAATTACCAAGAACCGGGGGATTCGATAAGACACGTGCATTTCGATTCAGTGTTTGATTCCTGCATTCACATGTTAATGATGGTGATTTTAAACGATTTAAGCGCAGGAGGGAAATCGAATTGATAAGAATCGATAAGCAGAATCGGAATCGATACAATTCAAACGATACCCAACACTAGCTATGAGCCTGTGCCTTTAGTATTAGCTAGTCGCTAAGCTAACATCATGAGCTACGCTCATCAAGACAAAACATATTGGGACACATACATTTTAGGAAGAACAGTCCAGTTAGATGAATTAGATTTAATGTTTTTTCCCCCCTGTTTTCTGTAGTCACTGAAATGTAAATGGATTCCTATAAGGTTTTTTGAACAGCTTATATTGATCCTTTTGGTACTGAATTAAATTAAAAATTAAAACTAACTGACTGTTCAGTGCTGGAATACAGTAAGCTCATAATCATCTGATCTTCATGTGTTTTGTTGGTCGTGTTCATCCCGGCTCATACTGCTCTGTTGTCCAACAGCTGAGACGAGAGCACAGCAGACTGCTAATAATACACAGCTAGCAGCGTTCAGAGTCGCTACAGACAAGACCCTCACAAAATAAAGCCTTCAGTCTGTAGAGCCTCAACAGTGTTACTGAGCAGCCGCCTTTCTCACTTTCTGCTGTCTGTTCTGTTTATCCTGCAGTTACAAACTCAAACTCTAGCAGTAATGCTCTCTTAAACACACACTCACACACTCAGAAATCAGCCCGCCTGATCTCAGCACGTGATCTGATCATTCACACACACACACACACACTCACTCACTCACCTGTAAACGTGTTGTTCATGTCTGCATCCTCCTGCAGCGCTGTCTGCTCTACTCCTGCATGCTTCACACAATCGCAGCACTTCTGGGAACCAGTGCAACTGTGTCACAAAGCATCATGGGTAATCACTGTCCTACTGAGAGGCTGGATGGGTGGCTTGGGTGTCCCATAATAGTTACCTAGGCAACCAAGAACCCATTAGCATGCTTGAAAAGAAAGAGGGACAGAAAGCATGGCAGAGAAAGAGAGATTTGTAAAACACGCACACACACACACACACACACACACACACTCGGCTCAGTACAGGAGAACACAGCAGAGGCGTCTGTGGGCCTTCCTCTAAAACTAACACTAGAGAGTGTGGTAGGGTTTCTCCAGAAGCACACAGACATTTTTGAATGTTTGGTCAGAGACTGTAGCTAAAAACAATCAGCACACAAGCAGGCTACAACATTCATATCCTGGAGTCTGACACATGCAATATTCAGGGACATACGCAGGTTTTTATAAATACTAATGGAGATTGGTAGGGGGTTCGGGGGCATGCTCCCCTGAGAAAATATTGATTTTCCTGACCTACATGTGTGCATTTTAAGATGTTTTAAGGCTCATATACTGGATAATATAGGTTTACAACCAAGTCAGTGGGCAGTAGTAGCATCAATTATTTTTCAAGATAACAGACTTTTAAACATGAGAATCAGATTAAATGTTGCAATGAATGACCCACGCTACAAACTGGAAATAGAGAAGATATACTTTGTTTATGTTTATGAATTTAATAAACTCAGTTATAATTATCCTGGTAGCCTTCAGTAAAATCACATGTCTAAAATGATTACACATGAATATTATTAATTTTTTATTCACACTGATAGAAATTAATCTTTTCCAATAACTTTAAACTGATTTTTACATTTTATGGGCATTTTTACCTTTATAAAGCCATTTTTTCTAAAAATGTCCATTATCTTTTGAGTCAAATTCTTACATTTAATCAGTGAATTAGAATAATGAGACATTTGGGCTGGTTATAATTATCCTGGTAGCCTTCAGTAAAATCACGTCTAAAATAATTAAACATGAATAGGGCTGCCACTAATGACTATTTTTATTTTGATTAATCTATCGACTAATTTATCGATTAATTGATTCATCTAAACGATTAATTTCCCACAAAAAAATCTACAATTTTACTTAAGAATATTTTATTAAACTATATTTCATTAAACTAAATGAAATCCAAAAGTAAAAAAGTAAAGTGCAACAGAGTGCAAGAAGCAAGTGTCCATCTCGTAGTCCAAATCACTGAAATCAAAGTTCAGTATTATAGTGTAAGAATGACAACATATCCACCTGTTCTAGTCTACTAATAATACAATTACATTTACATTTAGTCATTTAGCTCAAAGTTGGAGGAGAACATTCTTCTCGATATAGATTATTAAAGGATCCCATGTTTTGTAAAACGTTCTGGTTGGTCCTCTTAGAAAATATTAGATTTTTTCAGTTTTTAGAAAAAACATTACATCACTAAGCCATAGTGACAATTTAGGTGGCATTGGTGATTTCCCCTCTAAAAGAATTCTTCGTCTAGCTATTAATGTTGCAAATGCCATGGCATTTTCTTTATCTTTAGTTATGTGAATGTCTACACTTGTAACTCCAAACAGAGCCATTATTGGGTTAGGCTGCATTCTTAAATTAAATGCGGAGTTTAAAATTTAAAATATTGAAGACCAAAATTGTCTCAGTTTAGTACATGACCAGAACATACTGTATGGGTTAGATCTGCCTTAAATGCACTGCACCGATCACAGGTTTCATCTATATTTGGGTATAGTTTAGCCAGTTTGGTTTTACTATAGTGAATACGGTAGAGAACTTTCATCTGAATCAGATTGAGTCGTGCACAAGATGAAGTCCTATTTATTCTGTCAACAGCTTTGTCCCAAGTGTCTTTGGATATGTCAATTCCCAACTCTCCTATCCGTTCTGTTTTGATCTTCTCTAGTGATCTATTTTGGAATGTCATAATTAAGTTATATATTTTGGAAATGAGGCCCTTGAGGTATGTAGGGGTCTTAAGAACCAAGTCCAATCCTGATTCAGAGGGCATTTGAGGAAACGCAGAGCAATGGGCCTGAATAAAGTGTCGAAAAATCTGACTTTTGAAGATTACATTTTTGAATCAGGTCATTGCAATTAGCAAAAATATTATCAATGAAAAAGTCACTGCATTTAACTATACCCAAGTCCTGCCATTGCTTGAAAAGTAGGATCTAGCTTGGCAGCTGGGAAAAGATGATTATTACATATGGGGGTTTCCAAGGAAAAGTCTGTGAGTTGAAATGCTTGTCTAAACTGATTATATATTTTGAGAGTCAAAATTACAACTGGACTTTTAAAATTAAAACTGCGATGGTGAGAATGGTGACTTCATTGTAATCAGCACTGACAGCGATGTTGATTTGCAAGATTTAGCCTCCGCTTCACACCATTCTATACGTGGGGACTGAAACTAATAAATAACTTTTTGTAAATTTGCTGCCCAACAATAATTTAGCAATTTGGGAGAGCCAGTCCTCCGTCCTTTTTAGGTTTTTCAAGAAACTCCCTGCGTATTCTTGGCTTTTTGCCCCCCCCCATATAAAGGAAGACAGCAACCTATTGATTGACTGAAAAAAGGACTTTGGCAAGAAAATTGGAAGACTCTGAAACAAATACAATAATCTGGGTAACACATTCATTTTAACACAATTGATTTTATCAGTTAAAGACAAATATATAACACTCCACCGTTGGAAATCTGATTCAAGTTTTTTAAGTATGGGATTATAATTTGCTTTAAACAGATCAGTGTACAAACGGGTAATATTTATTCCTAAGTATTTAAATCTTGATTTTGATATACAAAAGGGCAAGTCTGTATCTGTAATCTGATCTGCCATATGATTTACAGGGAAGCATATACTTTTAGAGAAGTTTAATTTATAACCTGAAAAGTAACCGTACTCTTTTAATATTTTCACAACTTCAGAGATGCATGATAGTAGGGGTGTTATGGTACACAAATATGACAGTTCGGTACGTACCTCGGTTTTAACGTCACGGTTCGGTATGATTTCGGTACAGCAGGGGGAAAAACTAAAAAAAAAAACATTTTTTTTTTTTTAAATGGTTTACTGAACAAGTTGCTCTTTCTTTAAATACATTCAGTTATAATAAGAGGTGGAGGTTTGGGTCGGCCGTGACTCGGGGTCCGAGGCTCGCAGAGCTGGCAAACTTGGGTCGAAGTTGGGCCCCGGGCTCCCCCCCGGGGGAAAATAAAATGTTCTTAGTGATAAAAATCTACCTCAGTTTATGCTTAAAACTATAGGAAGCCCTCTTACATTATAAGGTTACAATTAGGCCTAACAACTTAACCCAAACTTAAATTTAATTACTATTTATTTTTAAATAGATGATCAACACTTAAAAAAAATTACAAAATTAAAAATTAAAATTGTATGCAAACATGTAAATTGCACATAATGCAGTTTTTAAATTAACTTATAAATAAAACAAATTCTAAGCTATTTGTTAAAATATATTCAATTACACAATGGCTGTCGTAGCATGTTTCATAACAGATTCATTTAAACATACTGTACATTAAGTGATCAAGACTAACAGGTTTAGTAAAATATAATGAGTATGTGGTGTAATATTTTGCTAGACTTCAAACGAGCTGTGGACACTGATGACTTGCTGAGGTAAATTAAATGCTACGTGACATTTTATTTCCACGCTGTAGTATTGATTGTCTTTCTGCGGTTGAAACACTGATTGAGCAATTACATGAGGAATGAGATGTTCAGTCATGTTTATTCGCGTTCAAACTAGTAGTACAGAGGAAGGAATTATCGCGTTCAGTCGCGCTCTGCTCTGCACAAATCTGCGGGGCCTCACGGCTCAGACATGGGAACCGGAGCTGATCGCGGCCGCTCTATTCAGTGCTTGTGTTGGGATTATACCAGCACGTTTCTGAACCATCCCAGAAGCGGCTCTCTAAGGCGTTTATACAGCGATCTGTCATGCCACCTAAAAGACAGTCAAAATGCCATTTATTATTTGAATTTCCTGAGAAGAAGGGAAAAAAACTGTATTCATGCGGTACACATGCGTACCGAACCGAAAGACCCGTACCGAAACGGTTCGGTACGAATACATGTACCGTTACACCCCTAAATGATAGTGGGTCAGTTATATATAATAACAGATCGTCAGCATATAGAGAGACTTTATACTTTACACCCCTTCTTTTAATACCACTGATAGACTGTGATGATCTGAGTACTGATGATAATGGCTCTATAGCCAAAATAAATAGCAAAGGGCTAAGGGGGCATCCTTGCCGTGTGCCTCTAGACAAGGAAAAATATTGTGATACTATCTTATTTGTGACTACGGCTGCCTTAGGTTGATGATAAAGCAGGTGAATCCAGGAAATTAATTTTGAGCCAAATCCAAATGTATCTTATAGCTACAGCAAATAAATAGTTCCATTCGACTCTATCAAACACTTTCTCTGCGTCTAGAGAAATAATCACTTCAGGATTACCCTCTGACACAGGAGAATGCACAGCATTAAGAAGTTTCCTAATATTAATGAAGGAGTGGCGCCCCTTTATGAAGCCTGTCTGGTCTTGTGAAATAATATCTGGTATTATGTACTCTTGATTATTAAAATTTAATGGAACCTTTAAAACGGAATACAGAAAATAATGGAAAACAGAATTTGGTAAAGATAAAACTGTAAAACTCAATTAATTAGACAGGCTTTTTGATTAATAACATTTAATTTAACCATTAAAACAGAGTATAGAAAAATGAAAATGGAAAAAAATGAATTTGGAAATAAAACGGATTTCAAAGTGCCCTATAATTATAATACATTTTTTTGTGGTAATAAAAATAGATGTTATTATGACAGCACTTTTTTTAAAACTAAGTTTCAATATCGTGATAATACCGTATACCGTGATAAAAGCATTAGCAATGAATCGCAACATGAGAATTTGATACCGGCGTATCCCTAATTAGAACTGCATCACATAATTATTTAATTAAATTGTAGCATTTGTGAATTCACAATTATGCTTAATTATGATTTTTAAATGGTTTAATATATCATGCAGCCTTGGGAAACAGACTAATAATGTGTTTTATACATTCTCATCTGAGAAATGTGCCACTTGTTGCCATGTTAGTCGACGCGAGCAAAATGAAGTCGAATAAAATCGACGAATCACGACAGCCATAATCATGAATATTATTATTATTTTTTTTTTTATTCACACTGATAGAAATGAATCTTTTCCAAAAAGTTTAAACTGATTTTTACATTTTATGGGCATTTTTACCTTTATAAATAAATTTTTTCCTAAAAATGTCCATTGTCTTTTGAGACAAATTCTTACATCTGTCTAGCTGAACTAGCCACAGCCAGACAGACCTTCTTCTCAAACCTTATAAACAGTAACTTAAACAACACTCACACTCTTTTTGCTACTGTTGAGAGACTGCCAACACCCCCCCCCCCACCCCCCACCTCCGGCCAGCACTGTAATATCAGAATGGCGATTGGCACATCCCCAAGTTATGCAGAGGTCACACTTAGTGGACATCTATGACATGTGGAGTCCCACAAGGCTCAATTTTTGCACCGCTCATGTTTAGCCTGTATATGCTCCCACTAAGTCAAATAATGAGAAAGAACCAAATTGTCTATCACAGCTATGCTGATGATACCCAGATTTACCTAGTCTTATCTCCAAATGACCACAGCCCCATTGACTCCCTCTGCCAATGCATTGATGAAATTAACAGTTGGATGTGCGAGAACTTTCTTCAGTTAAACAAGGAAAAAACTGAAGTCATTGCATTTGGAAACAAAGATGAAGTTCTCAAGGTGAATGCATACCTTGACTCTAGGGGTCTAACAACTAAAAATCAAGTCAGGAATCTTGGTGTGATTCTGGAGACAGACCTTAGTTTCAGTAGTCATGTCAAAGCTGTAACTAAATCAGCATACTATCATCTCAAAAACTGCAAGAATTAGAGGTTTTGTTTCTAATTACAATAGTCCACCAGCAGGGTGGACTATTGTAACGGTCTCCTCATAGGGCTTCCTAAGAAGACCATTAGACAGCTGCAGCTCATCCAGAACGCTGCTGCCAGAATTCTGACTAGAACCAGAAAATCTGAGCATATTACACCAGTCCTCAGGTCCTTACACTGGCTTCCAGTTATATTTAGGATTGATTTTAAAGTACTTTTACTCGTTTATAAATCACTCAATGGCCTAGGACCTAAATACATAGCAGATATGTTCACTGAATATAAACCTAACAGACCACTCAGATCATTAGGATCGAGTCAGTTAGAAATACCAAGGATTCACACAAAACAAGGGGAATGTGCTTTTAGTCATCATGCCGCTCGCAGTTGGAATCAGCTTCCAGAAGAGATCAGATGTGCTAAAACATTAGTCACATTTAAATGCAGACTCAAAACTCATCTGTTTAGCTGTGCATTTATTGAATGAGCACTGTGCAACGTCCGAACTGATCGCACTGTATTTTATATATAATCATTTCCTATTTTTAACTGTTTTAAATTAATTTTAAATCAGTTTTTAAATCATTTTAAAAGTTTTCAAATTCCTTGTTTTATTGTTGATTTTTTTTTTAATCAAAAATCTTGATTTTTTTTTTAATGATTATTTTACTTCCTTTTATGTAAAGCACTTTGAATTACCATTGTATATGAAATGTGCTATATAAATAAACTCGCCTGGCCTTGCCTATTAACACTCACTCCAAGAACTGATTTTGATGTTTACACAAATCATGATATTTAGGCTATGCATGCTTTGCTTTGGAGCAAATTGTCAAGTTTGTCAAAGAATTACAATGCTGGACTTAATGTAGATATTTTTTATATTCTCTCATATTTTTCGTCCATCCTTTGAAAGGCCATGCAGACAAAATAGTTTTTTTCTGAAGAGACACTATCACTTTGTGATGATCAGATTAAATTTCATGTCAAGTAAGCACGCTGATAATTCAAATTGTAATTATTTAAGGGTTCACTTTTATTTAAATATACATAATCTATGTGTCTCTAAACAGAAGTCCATGGCAAGACCCTTTTTGACTGCTAGATGAGTGTGTGTAAATATTATGTGGTCTATCAATGCCTTGACACATGCAACGTCCGAACTGATCGCACTGTATTTTATATATAATCATTTCCTATTTTTAACTGTTTTAAATTCATTTTAAATCAGTTTTTAAATCATTTTAAAAGTTTTCAAATTCCTTGTTTTATTGTTGATTTTTTTTTTTATGATTATTTTACTTCCTTTTATGTAAAGCACTTTGAATTACCATTGTATATGAAATGTGCTATATAAATAAACTTGCCTTGCCTTGCCTTGCCTTACATTTAATCAGTGAACATGTGGGCTGTTACCAGGCAAATTAAATCAATATAAACAAAATTAATCTTTGCAATGCAGAGGAAACACAGAAGCTGCATCTGAAGTGGCATTTAGTTGTATTTACACACTGTTTAATACAGCTCAGATGGACATGAATGCAGTTAACCTGCAGTTGCAAATGCATAAATAATATTTTGATATTTTAAACATAAAATATTGAATACTGATATTTTAAATGATTTAAAACATGAAAAAAAAAAGTAGGTGTACCGCCAGTAGGTGGAAGCGAGTCACTGTTAGTAAGTGAGTCATTGCGATTGAACCAAATCATTTAAACGGTTGATTCATTCAGGAACGAAACACCGTCATGTTGCTCAGAGACACAATGGAATCATTTTTGTTGGCGAAATAGAGCAAAAACAGGAAATATTGTGTCTTAAACATAAGTCTCTTAATATTAACTTCTTGTTTATTGAACTGTTGTATTAAATCAATATCACATTTGTAATCATGGTAATTTTTGGAGAAAAACGGCACTTTTTGTGTGAAATTGATTAACTATATGAAGTGGTATAAATATATACATTTTCATGTCTTGAATTATGTGATCATTCTAAATATATTTTAATAGACTGAATCATGCAGTGAAAGAACGCACTCTAAATGCGCACTTGCACTAGTCACGCTGTAGGGCTGTTTTGAATGGTTTTTGCAAAATACTCGATAATGTCAAATCGCATATCGTTAAAACAACAATTACGATATTATCGCAGACTATATATATATCGCACACTCCTACCGCCGAGGCATCTCATTTGAGAAGATCTGTTATCTTGGCTTTTTATCTATGCAGCACCAAAGCAGAATTAATATAAGGTAATTATTTTACAACTTCTGTTATTGGAAAAATACCGAGGTCTGGACCTTGAGGACCTCAGTGGTGGGTACGGCCCTGGCAATATCAATGCACTGAAGGTAGCTTGAAGAATACTGCATTCATAGTTGGATTTATAATAAATGGGCGTCATCTAACATGTCGCCATCAAATTTATTTAATACATTCCTAATCATTTTTTACATTATAATGCTTTTTAAATTTTGCTGTTCAATTGTAAATTTGGACACATGCACACAAAAATCAGTAAATGAGTTAAAGACACAATCTTACACATTATAATTCATGCTTGTTAAAAAAGTTCAGTTCAGTCATACAAAGAGGGCGAGTGACTTCTGGATATCATTAACATCATTAACTTCAGTAATACAGTCAAGTATTTCTCTATCCTATACTGATAAATGGCAGTTTGTCAAATGTTTCTGTAAATATTGCGCATCCATCAAAGTGTTTGAGATGCTCAAGGTTGAGTTCCCTCTGCTTTGTTTTTGGCTATGCTAGCATGCTAATGCTCTCTTTGGGGGGCGATCGCTCCATGAGCTGATATGAAGCTCTGTGTGATGATGATGATGATGATGATGGACTGAGGGTTTGTGACTGACCGTCATGCGTTCCTATCTCTAGCAGTCCTCCGCTCCGCTCTAGCTCCAGGAAGTCCTCCACAGACAGGACGTTGTAGTCCACACCATGGAGCTCTCCGTCACGAGGAGGAACCTGCGAGAGAAACACAAGGGTCAGATCTCCAAAACACAGTGGTTTGTGCAGACCATGGCAGGCGACACACTCTAGGAGTCTGAGAGATCTTCACAGTATGTTGATTTTATTTCTCATGTTTACGGATGACTGGAAGACTATTAGCAGTGATGCATTGCGATTCTCTCTTCAACGCTTCTCGAAAAGATTCTGGGGGTTGTTGTTTTTTCCCCCACATATGGCATGTGTGTGCAAAACTCAGGTACTGACAGACTTTCATATGCGCTGTGCGTTTGTTTGTCCTGAAGCTCGAGCACGGCTGCGGTTAAACACACATGCATCTCTGAATACTTTTATGATAGGAAATTAGGGATGTAACGATTCACTCAACTCACGATTCGATTCACGATTTTGATTTCACGATTTGATTCACGATTTTCTTTTCTTTTTTTACAAAATCAGAATCAGAATCAGAATGAGTTTTTATTGCCAGGTATGTTTACACATACGAGTTTTTTTACAAAATCAGAATCAGAATGAGTTTTTATTGCCAGGTATGTTTACACATACGAGGAATTTGTTTTCATGACAGAAATGAGATTTAAGACAAATTATAAATGAAATGTGTCCTTTTATTATTGCTTGAAGAAAAAAATGCTGCACATTTCTTTGTGAAATTGAAATATAACACTATAATAATATACTAATATAGCACTTGCATATTACTGCTCTTTTGTTGGTTTTGATTGCTTCTATTGTCCTCATTTGTAAATCGCTTTGGACAAAATATTCTGCTAAATTACAAAATTTTAATATAATGTAAATGCAACAAAACTACATTGAAATTTTAAAACAATCCCCAAATCAAATAAATAAGTAACACAAATAAAAGAAATCTCTTCATATAAACAAACTAAGGCTTTGTTTGTGCTCTTTCCATTTACAATTAGAGGCAACCACTGCATTTTAATCCTGATCCAAACAAAGTAGTTTTTAATCTGAATTAGATTGTATAATTTTTTAATTTGAAGCAAAAACAGAATGGTTTGACTTCAGTTTTATGAAAATATACATAAAAATATCTGCATGAAACCGAAACAGCAGACGAGCTGAACGAGACGCAGATGCACTCTCTGCCAGCAGGTGGCGCTTAAAGCATTTCCTTGGTTTCCGCTGTTAACAAAGCAGCGCTGCACTTATGAACTTTAATATGCATTATACAGAGGCAAGAGGAAAAGAAAAAATACCATCGAAACTTTTCTAAAGACAGTAAGTTCCCCTCAGACATGCATTCATATAAACTCCTACACCTAAATGAATCGTGATTTGTTTAGCATCTCAACCGATTTGAATCGTCACATATTTGAATCGAGTTTCAACCGGCTCGCGGTTAATCATTACATCCCTATAGGAAATTGATGTAAACACAGTCAGTTATGTTTTCAGAACAGGACAAAACATCTGATATGTGGAAGTAGATCTGTGCATTAGTGTGAATGCAGCCGATTAAAGCTGTCACTGTCTGTGATCTCCTCAGTAATAATCAAACAGCAATAATGCTGAGGAAAAAAGAAAACCCATAACTATGATTGTCTATAAACTTACAGATACTTAGAACACTCTTAGATACTGAAAGTGTTTTTTTGTTTAACCCTTGTAGTTGTCTTCCCCCCTTTATTACTCTATATTTGCTTGTATGTTTTGAAGCTATTATATTTAGTTGGTTACATTCTTAACAATTGTTTTGATTTATTATTAATTTAGGTTACACTTTATTTTGATAGTCCTCTTTAGACATTCTACTAACTACAAGTAGCTTTGCAACTACACGTCAACTAATGCTCATTAATTCACAACTACACGTCTACTAACTCTCAGAGTGGACTGTTAGGTTAGGTTTAGGGTTAGTAGAATAAGTTGATATATACTTGCAAAGTTTCTCATAGTCAGTATGTTGTGGACCCATCAAAGTAAAGTGTTCGCAGATATCAAGCAGACAGTCTACTAATACTCTAATGACTGATAGTTAACATGTAGTTAAAGTTACTTACTGTTAGTAGTATGTCTGAAGTGGACTATCAAAATAAAGTGTTACCTTAATTTATATTTATTTTAAAAAGCAGCATGCTTGTATAATTGATTAAAAATGCTCAAAATAAATGTGATATAAAATGCATATGAAAATGTGACCATGTGCCATAATATTGAAAACTGTGGCTGAGACGCATCATGATGCATTGTGATATAGAATGGAATCACTTCATTGACAAGATAATGGTAATGAAATCGAATTCTGAAACCAGTGACGACTCACACCATAAAGACTATGAAGCGCTGGACTCCTGACTCTGAATGACCAGTGCAGACGCTCATCTTTCTAAACCATTCTGAGTCTGACAGCGCAGATGATTCTGGCTCCCGCTGTGCAGACCGAACCTGACCTCCAGCATGCAATCAGCTAAAAATCACTCCGAACTTACACTGAATAAACAGAAACACAACAAGCACAACACCGGTGCAATAATGCAGCAAAGTTCTGTTGGTCAGTTGTAGGAAACAACAATTATTAATAAAAGATATTGTGTAGTGAAATATACAGTTCATAACCGTTACTACTGATGAATATCAAACAATATCTAGTTTGTACAATACAGATCAATCAAGGGCTCTGTGTAAGTCCAGGCACATACTGTCAGCACAGTTAAACACACTTGTGTTAGTCTGACCGCCACAAACCTTGGTGTGCAGTGAGGTGAGATTTACAGTATCTGCTGATTAATCGCAGCACGTTCTACCAATCATGATTTGTTCATGGTGAGAACAGAGTCAGAACTCACACAAGCCAAAACAACTGAGCTCATGAAAACCATTACAGCTGAGAGAAAAGTTCAAGACTCCATGAAGAATGAGAGTGAAGCTTTCACGTTACCAAACGATTTTAAATACACCAATGACATTTTCTCTCATAAATGGAACAGTAACTGCAAGAATACAAAGTCAGGATTTTTTCCTTTGGAAACGAAGTAACGTCTCAGTTACGTATGGTAACCCTCGTTCCCTGAAGGAGGGAACAGAGACGTCACGTCGGATGACCGACGAAATTGGGATCTCGCATAGAGAGATCAATCTACTTCGAGTGTAAACTAAACGAGCCAATGCACATTGGCATGCGATTATT